TGAAAATATAAGCATCACGCTGCAAAATATTATTTGTAAACCTAAGTAAATATAGTAATGAACCAAATTCAAGTTGTCGAATTCAAAATGTTGATAGAAATTTGCAAATTCAATTAAAATTGTCATCATAATCAAACTTGAAGGTTGATTATCTCTATTATAAATACGATATCCCTTGAAAGTATAAAATGGTTATAATTAAAGTGAATGTAGCTGGTACAAGGCAAAATGTATTGGAATGTTTATATCCCTTAAAGCTCAAAAGAAATTATGGAAATCATATTTAAATTATTTTGTTAAAATGTATCATAATTTATTTTGAAAGTATAAATGTAGAAATTGGATTTCAATTCCAGATTTAAAATTACATCACTTATTTTGGTAATTTTTTTAAGTAATATGTCATATTTTGCAATAATAGGCAACTTGTTTATTGAGTGCGAAAAGTTAATTATGTTTCATTAAACTACATCCTAGGATAATAACAATAAAAGATGTAAGAATAACGTTATCTTTCATAAACTATAAACTGGTAATTTTAATATATTATCAAATAAAAAGAATATCCAAGCATTTCTTATAAGAAATAATTCATTGATATTCATCTCAATTGTAACTAAATTTATTGACCTATTAATGGTAGCGTTGATCATAGAGAAGGTATATCATATTAGATGGCTAACCCCCTAAAATGTGGTTTTATTATAGAGATTGTACCTAATGGTCTTTATTGCGCAACCTTTTATATATTAGCTCCAACCTTTCTAGTACTTTACCTAATTTTATTGCTGTTATTCCTGAAATACCATTTATTAAGGCTAGTAATATTTAAACTTCTTCTTTTAAATGTTTACTTTCAGCTGTTTGATATTGATAGTTTTTAGGCCCTAATCTCGATTTCCAAATCCAACAATAGTCTTTATTTTGTGGTAGATAATAAGCATAATATTTTCCTACTTGTGTAAAGAGTTTTGATGAGTTATGTATAGCCAGTAATATTTTGTAAAATTACAGTTTGAACTCATAAAATAATTGCATCCATTACTGAGCTTTTCGAAATGAACGATAATTATATTAACTAATTGTTAGAAAATACATTTAAACTTAAAACATTTATTCCAACATCCATAATCAAAAAGAATGACTATCAGAATCACATCTAGATAATCTCAATGCATATTGACCATTCAATGATATTTAATTTCTCTAGTCAAATAATCTTATTCAACTTAAATAAAACGATATTTCCAAAATAGCTTTTCTTTTGCTTATTATTATTCTAAAAATGAAAATTCTTCCTAATGTGTAATTTGCTTTCAAATCCACATCTAGATTAAATTACTGCAATTTAAGATTTCTTAGGAATTTAAAAATAGTTATGATTCATTTTTTTTTGACTTGGTAATTTCGACTCTTAATGAAAAGGGATAAAGGATCGAATTTTATCCCTTCTACATTTCTTTCCTCATCATCGATTCATATCCCATTAAAAATAAAATTCTAACATCTCATCTTAAGGTCTCTTATCTATGATCCTTCTCATATAGTGCTCAATAAGGATTCAGGACTTCTCAGATTGATTCATCCTGACTTTTATTATTCCCTAGACCTAATTTTTCCCTATGCCTTGTAAAGTATCTTTTGGCCATGATTTTATTATTTTTTTAAAGAATGATTTCCTTTATTGATTTTATA